CTATCCCACCTGTCACCACTAAATAATTGCTAGAACAGCGTAGAGTCAAGGGAATATGTTTGTTAAGAATGTCTATGATAAGATGCTAATATTTTCATGTTTAATTTTCTTACAGCTGACAAGGTTACGACAGAGCTTACAAAGTTAGCCAAAGATGTGAGTATCTTCTTTATATTTAACCAGTACATATCTTGAACCAAAAACCTTTGCCACTAGTGTAGAAGTAGGACAACCTAAACAGCAGTCTGACCAAGCTCTATTTTGTTTGCTTTTAATTTCAGTACTGTCATACCTTAATCTCCTCAACTTCAGTTGACTTTTCCAAGTTCAGAGCTGATTAATTCCATCACGTATATATACAGAAGGGCAGTACTATAACTGTCATATAAAATTATAGATGCTTAAATATGAAAGTCCAGATTAAGGTTTTAATGTTGTACTCGTATTTGAAGTTCATGATCATTACATATAATGAGACAATAATTGTCCAGTTTGCTCAACTTATCAGAATGTCAGAAAATGATAAAAAATTATTGTGAGTATGGCAATTCTACTCATGTTGGCATTGATCACCACTTGGTTGAGGTTTTAGCAAGAATATTCATATTTCATTAACCTCAAAAAGGTATTCATTATAAATTTAACACTTGTCTTTCAGTTTAAATTCATCTTTTTCTGTATCAGAGTATGTGTAGGTCACTGATGAAAAGCCTCAATGTAGCATTAACTTCATCTAAACTACTCCCTTTGTAGAAAATTTCTGCATGGCTCTTGTTTCAAGCTCTGAAAGTAGTCTAGTGCTCTGTTCCTGTGATAATGAACACAAAACAACCTTATAAGGTTTTGTATATCAACACTACGTGTATCTTTTAACATTTCAGACAATTCCCCAAAACATTACTAGCTTGCAGGGAATTAGGAAGGCAATGGGTATCTCTGTTGAGTCTGTACAGGGTACTGACGAATCTCAACCAATAGAAATAGAGGATCAAGATGAAAATAGCCAATCAGGTGATCCAGCACAAACTAACCTTGCAGATGTGAACAACCAATTAGAAACATTTACACAAAACAATGATGAAGTTAGTTTTATTGACAATGAAATGTTAATGGAAACTGATGGTACAATGATTGATAACTTATGAGGTGACTAGAGATATAAATGGCAATATTACACATGTGTTCAATTGTGTTTTTTAAACAATTCTGTGTTGTGTAGCCTGTGAATCAAAGAAAGCATTGGCAAAATTGCCATTGTGTTTGGTTATATTTTAGTGCTGTTGATGGCTGTTAAGAGTGAAGGACATTGCTGCATTGCCTGTTGTTCTCCAAGTACATGAGGACATGTTGGTACTGATGAACATTGTAAAATGTTGTTGTAGAGAAATGCTAGATCCGTTTGTAGATTTTGAGAGTGGAAGAGATTTATAATCCAAGTATAAGTTCTTTGGTCGTTCTTGCTGAAATGCAAAGTGTAAACCTGAAAAAGAGATTTTAAATAAGATTTAAACCTATTTTTGATAAAGAAATGAGTGATGACAATTCAAGTTTATTTGGTAAAAGTAAATATTTAAACTGTCAAATTTACTTATTTATTATAAGAAAGTATTACAATAACTATTTATGTTGATTGGTGTGACTGTAAAGTGTATATTGTAAACTATTGTAAAGTATAAAACCAGACCTTTTTATGTTGCTCAATTGCAATGCTATTGCATGTCATTTAAATTTTTAAGGCATGTCCATGTCCAAATGATAATTTTTAAGGCTTTTCTGATATGATAATATAAGCTGTAATGAACTAATCAACCATGTTGTGAATTAATTAAAGATTAAACAGGAAAATACCAAGTTAAAAGTAAGTAAAAGCACAGACAGCGTTAACCTGGCAAGGCAAGTTGATCTCTTATACCAATGTTACAAGCTAATTTAGTAAATTTATGATGACAATACAACATAAATATGTTTGCAATAAGGCTTGTCATATCATTAAATTCCCGTAGATATCTTTCATATTTTCATAATTTTCCTTTTATTCATAGCATAGATAATATCATAATAATTTAAAGTTTTTAAGAATTTTTATTTATTTTATATTGTTACTAGCATAGAATAAGTGATTGTTACTAGCATAGACTAAGTTATTATCTCAGGCTGGCATTAGCATGTTGGAATTACCAACTTGTGTTGTATGACAATAAATATTTCTTATACATGTATTTGAAATAGATGTACATGTATGTACTCGATTGAATGCTATCAATAAATTAAATGTTGAAAATCAACTTTTTGTTTAATATTATTCTCCCATAATGTATTTATTCTGCATTATTCCTAAAGGCAAGATCCCTGTAATGGAATCGGGTTTTTTCATGCCATGGGAAAACCCCTAAATGATGTCACGATTTCAGAAAATAGAACACAGAAACTAAAACAAATCATAAGTGAAAAAGAAAGTAAGAGACTGAAAAGACCGTTATAAGGCCAAAATCAAAAGCAAGTTGAGAAAACAACCCAATATTCTTGTGGAACATAATAATCCCCACATACTGAGCTTTGATGTACTGACAGATTAAATTCTGTTACCGACAGTTAACTTAATTCTTCTACAGTACTGTACACCTCTCTGTGCTAAATTCTCACCATTTATCACATGAAAATGTGTGGAAAAAAACTTTAACTTTGAAGTTAAACAAATAGTGCTTTGCATTTTCCTGTGTACTCAAGCCTTCATATTAGTGACTTATTTAATGTCTAATCTTTGGTTATATTCTTTTCAGCAAAAATTACCTAGATTTGATAATGCTGTATGGCTTAATTCTTTCAGAAACATTCCAAGAATAAATCTTGCTTCATTTTGCTTACATGAATATCATAGGACACAATGATTTGGACTGACAAAACAAATACCTAAAATAATATGATGAACTTTGACTTCTATAGTTTATAGAAAATCAAGTTCATGAACAGTTGTAACTTTAAGAGGACCTCAATGTGATTAATATCTCCCCTATCTGATGGGAACCTAGGAGATATTTAGAATGAAGGGCAGATAAGAAATGTGTCTACAGACAGATGGGCAGTCCAGCTGACTCCAGTAATGGTATACCCTGTGTATAACAAGAGCTATTGGTAGGGCAGCATGCTTGACAAATCTGTTATCTTGATAAAAAAACAAGCGCTAAGACAATTAGGAATTTTCTAAGTTCATAGAGGGCCATAATTCTGTCAAAATTATGGGCCTTAGGAAGTGACTTATTATGCTCGCAAACAAGTTGAGTTAAAATGCACATAAATGTAAAATCACATAAAAAGTTAAAAATTACAAGACCAGAATTTATCTTAATATCCATTTATTGATTTCATTGCATTGATTCAATCATTGTGACAAAACATGACATAATGTATTCTAACAGATGTCTATAAAACATGATAGTAAATTGATTTTCATTTACACCTCTTAAAACATTGTAACATAAATGGAATAAATTATTGATGATTTTTCTATTAAGTCATTTGCAGCAGGTAAGCAAAAAAAAAGAGAAAATATCAAATAATATAATGTATGATGTGAGCTATTTTTTTAATTCACACTTTAATCTCCCATTATAATATATATGTATATACTGTAGTGTAATATGCTCTCGCATTCTCTCTAGTCACGTGGATTTAAAGCAGCATGCCTCCAGATCCATTCTAATTTTCATGAAATTTTTTGAAAATGTATTCAAAAGTAAAATATTGTGAAGTGAACAAAGAAAGTAATTTACACATTGCAAACTGCACTTACAATCCACGTAAATTACCAAAAAGAGGTCAAAATATTTATAAATACCTCTTACTGCATTAGTAACGCAGTAAAATTATAGTGATTAATACTGCATTAATGGCACTTTACATGTATAAAATTAATTAAATATTGAAAAAAAAAATCGTTTTACTTTTCTTAAGATCTTAATACATTTTTTTAAAGAAATATTTTGGCTCATCTGGAGGCGTGCAGCTTTAACTCAGTTTATAGTCTCTTTGATACCAGTTGGATAGAATGCTTTGACATATAAATATATGCTTTCAAAGTTAAAATAAAACTAATGTATACTCAATGGTGTTCTGGTGATAAATGACAATCGGCTATTGACTGGTAGGCAATTTAAATATAACCAACACATGATTCAGAGATCATCATTTACAAAACTAACGACAAAGAAAATGCCTGTCAACTATTGAATTTACCAACTGATTTGTAAATAAAAAATAAATAAACCAGTTAAATTGTGTTTGAAATTCAATCAATCATTCATAACTTCTTTGACTGACCAACTCTGAATTTGTCATTAGCTTAACTTTAGTCACATGTTTTGTGACTGTATAAATTAATACACATGTACACATGAATTTAAATCATTCTTAAATCAAGCACCTTGCAATCTTAGTTAAGCTTATATCATACAAACAATAATGAACACATATTATAAGCACATCTACTAAAATACTTTGATCAGAAATTATTTGATCTGTTGAAATTTGTGATCATCCAACAAATTTGTTCAATCGCATACAAAATAGTTAAAATTAATGTATAAATCTCAAAATATATTGTCCTTTTCCCAAAAAGACTGAGAATACAATGTTACTTTATAATCTTGAATTTATTCAAAATTTAAAGAAATCCTTACTGGCCATAGAACAAGAAAAATTATTCAACGGGAGATAACCTATAAATGTAATTGAGAAAAATGCTTTACATGATCAAGGATCAGAATATTTGAGCCGCGTCACGACAAAACCAACATAGTGCGTTTGCGACCAGCATGGATCCAGACCAGCCTGCACATCCGCACAGACTGATCAGGATCCATGCTGTTCGCTTACCAACTATAACAAGTAGAGAAACTAATAGCGAACAGCATGGATCCTGATCAGACTATGTGGATGTGCAGGCTGGTCTGGATCCATGCTGGCCGCAAACACTATGTTGGTTTTGTCGTGACGCGGCTCAATTTTTTGTTTCAAAATATTCAGAAATCTGATAAAATTATCTTGCATTGTTTTGAATGACTGTCTGAGTAACAAAACATGAAATTAACATGAAATTGCTAGAAAAAATAACTTAATGTCAATGTAAAAATTGTAGAGCTTAGATAAAGTATATTCTTCTATGATTAAAACAAAGCTTCCTGAATAATTCAGGTACATCTGATACAGCTATATATATAGATTTGGATTAAATTTACAAAAATGTCCATAAGTGGAGCCAATGGTTAATATAAAGTATCCATTCCAAAAAATATGTCATTAAAATAAAATATAAAATATCACATTGTCTATCATAAAATGGTCAAATATAAAACATAAAAGAATTATTACATAGTAATTATTTCATAAAGTGGTAGTGTACAAAAACACAAAAATTATTTCCGTATTTGATTCAATATCAATATAATATTTGATTCATAGCAAATAAATATAATTAAGTGTTTGAAAAATATTTTTTGTCCAATAAAATTGCAGTATTTCAAATGAATCGTAACACATTTACTATGGTAAATTGGCTAAATTTAATCAGTCTAGTAAATCCACACTTTTATATTTAAAAATAATTTCTAAAACGTAACACTTAAAATCCAAGACTGTTCATAAATTTTTGACATTGCATTTAGTAAGTACAAAATACAGATAATTTTTTCAAATAATAAAAAAAATAAATTTTGTTGAAATAATTAAGCATTACTATTTTTATTATTACTCTGTCTTCAAACTGGGTCTTCCATTTAACATTGTCAGTGTTCTTGTTTTTATCAATGTCAAACCCCTTTCTTTTCTTTTTGGAACTCGGTTTTGAAGTCTGATTATACTTTCTGGGTGTTTGAACACAGACAACGACTGTGGATTTTTTAAGAGAATGTCAATATCAGAATGATAGGGACCGGTTCTTTTTCTTATACATATAATTATGTCAGTTGCCCCATCCACATCCCCTGACTCTCATCACACCATCTATTTATAAAAAAAAATTCTCACAAATTTATCTGAATATATTCCCAGTAATAAAACATTTAAAAACATAACCATGGATAAAATCTTTTTCCTGAGTAACTTTCCAAATAAATTTTCCAATCAAAATGTACTGAATACACATATAACATCTTCTGTTTTAGTTAAATCCACAATTAAAATAACAGTTTAAACAACTTTTCATCATGGAATTTATTGTTGTTGTTTATTTTTTTTAATCTGTAAAATATCCTGACTTTACAAAATAAGTAAAGGAAAATCATTATACATGTATACACATTGTGGTCATATCTAAAACTATCATAAATGTAAAAATTTAAGCAAGCTAGTAGGTACTGGTACTGGCAAATGTTTACAAATAATTCTGATATACAAATAAAGAAAGCACATTTCTGGATCAACTATTAAAATCATAGTTTTTGATCTGAAGAACACCCCTATCTAGGTTCTAAAATGGTAGTATTTCAGGTAGAAAATAATTTTGATAAAAATATTCTATATATTTCTTGGGCAATGAAAAATGATTTTATATTCATAATGAAATAAGTAACAATAAAAAAGATGGCCAGAAACTGATGTATTTTATTCTTTATTTTACTTGAAATACAACTGTTTTACAAAGTCCTCGCTTAATGATGGATTTATGTAACAATTTATTGATAAATTTCTCAAGTATCTTTCCTTGTATTTTAAATGACAATTCATGATTAAGAAATTTGTAATACACAATTTTAAATCATTCATTATTATTTCATTCAGTTTTGTATTTCAATCAAAATTAAAATAAGTAACACATAAATTAAAATAAAATTCCACAGCTGATGGCTATATTTTTTTTTCAACTTTAATAAAAAATATTTTACCATATTCTATTTTAAAATAATCAAAATACGACAAGTGGGTTTTTAAAGTTGAGTGCATATTCATTGTTTTGAAAAGGACAGAAAAAAACAAAAAAAAAACAACAACTTGTTAGACTTGGAAACTACATTACATAAATTCAACCACTTATGTCGGTCTAGGAAAATTGCTGGCAATATAAAAAATACCTTTTAATCCTAACATTTAATTTAATTTCTAACATAATTTTAAATTAAACTTAAATACAATTATGTTATATTTATCAAATGAACATTCTATATAAGCTCATTTTGTATAAAGTGAAGGTATTTCAAAAATGAAATAATTAAAAATTAAGAGTAAAATCACTAAGGAAAAAAAATGGGCAAGAAATAAATAGCTTTTTTGTTTATGTACAATGTATATATACAGTCATTTGGCAATATATATTGAATTTTCGACGGGTAAGAATTTTAGCAAAAATTTATTCGTTGCCTAGAGCAAATCTTATAGCTTCTGGCCCTATCTTGAGATCACCAGAGTCAAGATCTTTGCTGGTATAGATCTGAGCCCAGACAGGACAATGGTCACTGACCACCCCACCCCATGTCCAGCCTTTCGGAATCCAGGGACTTGAGAGTCCTTCTCGAATAACATCACTGTTTCCTGGAAAAACAAGAAGTTATTTTTAGATTAAGATTTGTATTGATCATCAGTCACATCTGTGTTATAGATTACCTAAAAGTAAAAGCTTTACACAGAAAACCTTCCTTTACAGACCAGAAACTAAGACCTTACTATATCTTATTTGAATTAAAGGCACTCCACTGAGGTTCAAAAGCCAACAACATAAAATTTGAATTTCATACATAGATCAGTTGGGCACTTTAAAACAGAAGGATATAAGCAAAAGAAATTAAGATATTTACTCTGAAATAAACTGAAAATCGTAATTTGTACTATTTTTATCCAGATTTCAGTGAAAAGTGTTGAAAAGCTAGCCATTTTTCGCAATAAGAATTATTATTCAGTGTGCGCAAATGATCTGAAATTCTGCACCTAGACCTTCTAAACATCATAATGGAACATTCATCTTGAAAAATTATTTTCAGAACAGTCATTTTAAAAAACCTCAGTGGAGTCCCTTTAAAGTTCAAATACCTATTTTGACAGACCTGTTGTTCTAACATGTATTTTGATATAACTAAGTGCTTAAAAGTCAACTTAAGTTGTATAAAATGCGCCATAACCACACCTGTAAAGACTTGCTTGGTTTGTTTCGAGATCCATATATTATCATACGTCTTGCTGCCTTTTAAGTTAGCATCACTAATGTTAGTGTACACTCCATCACTGATACAATTATGGTAACCTAGGTTACGTAAATCATTGAAATCTGAAATGATAAGTTCTCATTAATCATTGTAAAACACATCCTGATTTGGAACAAAATATCATGATAAAAGGTATATAAAAGTTACATTATACAAAACGTTGCGTGTAAAACAGTGTGTTGCCTTACGTAAAATCATGAAATGTTAGAGGTGGGTTCTTTAAAAAAACAATACATGAAAGAAAAAGCTTTTGTCATAAATCCTTTTATTGTCATTGACTTTTGTAATCAAAGGCTTATTACGCTTCAGAAATCCATCTTCTATTTTAATTCTGTAGAAATGTCAAACATGTGTTTAATAATGTTCTAACAATCGATTAAGAGCATGTGAGATGTTCATGACATGAAGAAAATAGCGCTTCATGAGCAGTAATTTGTCATAAAGGTAGCAAAATGTGAACAAATTACTATTTTGACTTCCATACAAAATATTAATTCACTATAAATATAATAATTGCCAACAGAGCAAACGAAGCAAAAGATAGTTTATCTATTGTGACAACTGAGTGTTTTATTTTTGAAAACTGTAACAAGAAACCAAAATAAAAAGGTTTTACAGAAATAAAAATGATAACATTAATGAAGCATAATGAGCCTTTAGGTCAGCATCCTCATAAAAATCCTATAGATAGTCTAATTGTTATTTTAAAATGTGTAGTTGCTTAGCAACATTGCCTTTTTAAATGAAATTTATAATTAATAGCATAAAAACAATTTAAGGGCTTAGTGATAAGTTCACAAACAGGTCACTCATATAAAAACAAAACTTAACAATCCCCACATAATTTTCTCAGATTCAAAATAATCGAAGACTTTAATGAAAACTAGAACTATCACTAAATGTGATTAATACCCCCACAAGACTACTTCGGAAAAGAGGATGTTACTAGTAACAGAATACATTGTAAAAGAATTGAAATATAGAGTTATGGTTGTGGGCAATTAAAGATAGTTGTGGTTCTCGTATGTTGCATTTCCTTTCAATGTGGTTGGCCATTGATGAAGTTTTATTGAATTACTCTGTAATAAGTCCAGAAAGACAAGGAAAAGGAACAAAGGGCAATAACTCTATAAATACTGAAGATGGAGTTATAGTTCTTATGCACTGCACTTCCTCTTATTGTGCTTGACCATTGTATGAAGTTGTTTTGAATTCCAACCAGTACATTTTTAAGTTATGCTCCGGACAAGGAAAAGTATCAAAGGGCAGTAACTCTGTATTTTGTCAAAATGGAGTTATGGTTCTTGTGCAATGCACTTCCTTTTAATGTCCTTGACAACTGTATGAAGTTGTATTGAATTACAAACAATAGTTTTCAAGTTATGCTCTGGACAAGGAAATGTAACAAAGGGCAATAACTCTGTAATTAGTCAAGATGGAGTTATGGTTCTTGTGCACTGCACTTCCTCTCAATGTGCTTGACCATTGTATGAAGTTATATTGAATTCAAACTTTTAAAGTCTTCAAGTTATAGTTCGGACAAAAGAAAGCAATGGAAAAATAACAAAGGGCAATAACTCTGTAGTTACTTTAGATAGAGTTATGGTTCTTGTGCACTGCACTTCCCCTTATTGTGCTTGACAATTGTATGAAGTTGGTTTGAGTTTCAACCAGTAGTTTTCAAGTTTCAACCAGTAGTTTTCAAGTTATGCTCCTGACAAGGAAAAGTAACAAAGGGCAATAACTCTGTAATTAGTCAAAATGGAGTTATGGTTCTTGTGCATGGCACTTCCCCTTATTGTGCTTGGCCATTGTATGAAGTTGTTTTGAATTCCAACCAGTAGTTATCAAGTTATGCTCTGGACAAGGAAATGTAACAAAGGGCAGTAACTCTGTAATTAGTCAAAATAGAGTTATGGTTCTTATGCACTGCACTTCTCTCAATGTGTTTGAACCATTGTAATGAAGTTATATTGAATTCCAACAATTAGTCTTTCAAGTTATAGTCCGGACAAAAGAAAGCAATGGAAAAAATAACAAAGGGCAATAACTCTGTAATTACCTTAGATAGAGTTATGGTTCTTAAGCACTGCACTTCCCTTATTGTGCTTGACAATTGTATGAAGTTGTTTCGAGTTTCAACCAGTAGTTTTCAAGTTATGCTCCCGGACAAGGAAAAGTAACAAAGGGCAATAACTCTGTAATTAGTCAAGATGGAGTTATGGTTCTTGTGCACTGCACTTCCTCTCAATGTGCTTGACCATTGTATGAAGTTATATTGAATTCCAACCATTAGTCTTCAAGTTATGCTTCGGACAAGGAAAATGCAACGGACCGCTAGACCGACCGACCGACCAACCGACCGACCGACCACCGGGTGACTCCTATATACCCCCCCAAACTTCGTTTTTGGGGGTATAACTAGTAACTGCAGAAAAGCTTTTTTTTTAAAAAAAAATAATTATTTTATTAGATGACTTACCATCAGTATTTGGTGCTAGGTTAAAATCTCCAAGTATAATAATGTCCTTCTCATCTAAAGATACAAACATAATATATTACATCTATTGCTTTTGGAAGGCTTATATTATTAAATTTTCTAAAAAATCATCATGTATGCATAGATCCCTGACCTGTCTAATTCTAAATTATCAGATTAGTGGAATTAATTCTTAATTTTCAGATTAGTGGAAATAATAAGAATTTCACCATATTTGTTAACAAAAGAGCACATGTATATTAATGTTTGTGGCGAAATTTATTGTTATTCAAATAAAAGGTCAGAGTAGGGATCTATCAATTAATAACCTCCCCCATACCCTGAATGAAAATACATGTATAACTGCTGATATCTATAAGTGAGTGATAATTTAATCTTGTATGTTATACAAACAATACAGTATTAATTTATGCATTTTTAAAATGATTTTAATATATTTTATTGATGTCTGCTCCACAAAACCCTTGTGCTTTCCCTTATGATGCAAAATAATCAAAAAATAATTTAGTCCATAGGACATTGATCATTCGTTTTGTCACTCTGTAGACAGTGGGACAGGTCTGCATGGCAACAAGACAGACAAACAGACAAGGGAAAATCTGTATCTCCATCAATAAGAAGTGTCGATATATAGTAATTTGTATATTTTAGTCACATTTTGACATGAAGATTATAAATATTTGTTCCCTTGTAGTTAGTTTCACACTACATGTGTTACTCTTAATAGAATGTACATGTATTTATGTTGAAATTTTATTTGTGATGTATGCTATTGAGTTATCTTATTCATTCAAATGTAGTTAAGCTCTCGTTATTAATTTAGATTTTGCTACACCTATATTAAAGAAAAGAAAAGTAATTAGACAAACAAATTTAAAAGTGTATTCTTACCAGGTAGTTGTTCTTGTATAGCTTCAACAAGGTTTGAGATCTTGTCTATTTCTGCTTGTAGTCGACCTAAATCTTCATTAGCCAGACCTGTTGCTTTAAGGTGTACACTTACTATTGCACAGTCAAATCGTTTTATCTGAAATTATGATTAATGTAAGCTACAGGAATTGTACAGGAAATCTGAAGAACCTGTATAATATTATTAAATAAATTGCATATAAATTGAACAAAAACCTAACTGGCACTAATAGGCTTCAATAAATCATTCTGAAGTCTGCTTACTGGTCAGACTGGTGGCTGTATGTGTATAAGGATAGCTGAGTTAAATTGGAAAAGATCATTGGTTCAAACCGTACTGGGATCAACACCATGTTTACTAAACCAACACCAGTACAAATATTGCTTAGTTCCAGGAGGAAAGGTTTAAAAGATGATTACACGTTCAAATTACCAACAAGCAATTTGCACAACCAAGCTTAGAAAAATACTGTTCAAACTAAAATCAATTAGTTTAAGAAAGATAGCAGCTTAAAATCCAAGGTTTATCACAGAACTGCTTAACATGTTCATTCTTGATATTCATTTATCTAACCCCCAGTAATGTTGAACCCCTCGCAGGGACCTGGACCTGATGGCACGTCAAAACTTGCAAGAAGCTTAATATGTATTTTTTTTTAAATGAATAAAAGTAAAAACATCAAAATATCTGTAAATTAATTCAAGGTAACCCATGCCATTTATCACTGTAAGGAATTAAAAGAGACAGGAAATCTTGTCATTTATAAATAACCTACATAAAGTTCCTGTTTATTAATAAAACAGGTGGATATTAACAGTTAGACACAAGGAAGGCTCATATAAACTATTTACAGTTTCACTCAACGAAGGCTCATATAACCTAAATAATACTTGTTAAATTATACAATGCATTATTAAACCTAGAATAACAGGTATACTAGAATCAATATAACATTCCAGTATAGTATTTAATCATCAATAAACAAAAGATAACTTGGCAAGCCTGCATTTGTAACTGTTTTTGAATTGTGACAAGACTACTCTATAGCGCTACGCAGTATGGGCTTAATACTGAAATCTCTTCAGTAATCTAATTTACATTTCACAATACCAGTAGAATAATTCTATTACTTGTATATAAATTTAGCAGTTCTTGTTTATTTTGTAACAGACCCGCTTATTTCTTTTGTTTCATAATTTCTTCCAGATATAAATAGCAAACATAATTCTGCATTAAATACTTCAACGAAAATATACATGTACATAGAAAGATTCCGCAAAAAACCAAATCCTATTTCTATTTCAATCTTGCTAACACACAATCTTGATAAATTAAGGGCATTTTTTGTAGATCTTTGCATTTCTGCTGGTCTGTTGATTTGATGGTAGACAGATATTGAATATTGAAAGCAGATGTATATAGTAGAAGCAGACGCAATCAAATCAATGATTAAATTACCTGAAACAGTGTAATCAAACCTTACAGCAGACGACAAGGTATAATTATAGAACAAAGGTGATAATCACACTAACTAATCAATAATAGAGTAAATTACCTTGAATGTAGCAATAAAAGGTCTTCGTGTAAATGGTTTCTGTTTTTTCGTCTTTGCCAGAAGACAGGAACTTATTACAGATATACCCTGAGACTCGTCATACAAGAATCCATTAAATTCGTTGCTCTGAAATGACAATTTTTGTTACGTGTTATAACAGTGAACCAGCGATAGTTTATGTCTGTATTCTAAGTAGGAAAAATTGTAACATGGAAACATTCTGTTATACATGCACTAGATTATAAAGAATGAATTAGCTTTTAACAATTCACATGAAGAAATATATTTATTTATTTCAAGCCTTTCAGCTCCAGTTTGTACAACTATTTCATTCAATGGTTTAATGGTGATTCATCATTTACTGTTATTCTCAAACTACTAACTTTCTCTGTATCTCATTAATCAACTTTCCTTGTGACATAATTATATAAATCAACTTCAAAATAAAACAAGAGGGCCATGATGGCCCTGAGGTCGCTCACCTGTATATAGCCCCACCCCCCACACACCCATAAGAAGATGTTTCATGCTAAACATCTAAGCTCTAGCTCATTTGTCTTTTAAAAGAAGATTTTTTTAAGTTTTTACTATAAACATATAGTTAAAAACAATGACACCCCTGGGGCGGGGCCAGTTTTGACCCCAGGGCTTTTATTTGAACAAACTTTGTACGCAATTACTAGAAGATGTTTCATGCTTAATATCTAAACTCTAGCTATTTGGGTTTTTTCAAAGAAGATTTTAAGTTTTTGCTATACACATATAAGGAAAATCAATGACCCCCGGGGCGGGGCCAATTTTGACCCCAGGGCTTTAAATTGAACAAACTTTGTAGACACTCACTAGAAGATGTTTCATGCTTAATATCTAAACTCTAGCTATTTGGTTTTTTCAAAGAAGATTTTTTAAGTTTTGCTATAACACTATAAGGAAAATCAATGACCCCGGGCGGGGCCAATTTTGACCCCCAGGGCTTTTATTTGAACAAACTTGGTAGACACCTATTAGAACATGTTTGATGCTAAATATCTTAGCTCTAGCTCTTTGAGTTCTTTAAAAGAAGATTTTTTAAGTTTTTACTATATGCATATAGGGAAAATCAATAACCCCCTGGGGCGGGGCCAATTTTGACCCCAGGGCTTTTATTTGAACAAACTTGGTAGACACCCATAAGAAGATGTTTCATGCTAAACATCTAAGCTCTAGCTCATTGGGCTTTTTAAAGAAGATTTTTTTAAGTTTTTACTATACCCATATAGTTAAAAACAATGACACCTCTGGGGCAGGGCCAGTTTTGACCCCAGGGCTTTTATTTGAACAAACTTTGTAGACACTTACTAGAAGATGTTTCATGCTTAATATCTAAACTCTAGCTATTTGGGTTTTTTCAAAGAAGATTTTAAGTTTTTGCTATACACATATAAGGAAAATCAATGACCCCCGGGGCGGGGCCAATTTTGACCCCAGGTCTTTTATTTGAACAATCTTTGTAGACACTAACTAGAAGATGTTTCATGCTTTATATCTAAACTCTAGCTATTTGGGTTTTTTCAAAGAAGATTTTTTAAGTTTTTGCTATACACATATAAGGAAAATCAATGACCCCCGGGGCGGGGCCAATTTTGACCCCAGGGCATTTATTTGAACAAACTTGGTAGACACCTATTAGAACATGTTTGATGCTTAATATCTTAGCTTTAGCTCTTTGAGTTCTTTAAAAGAAGATTTTTTAAGTTTTTACTATATGCATATAGGGAAAATCAATGACCCCCTGGGGCGGGGCCAATTTTGACCCCAGGGCTTTTATTTGAACAAACTTGGTAGACACCCATAAGAAGATGTTTCATGCTAAACATCAAGCTCTAGCTCATTGGGCTTTTTAAAAGAAGATTTTTTTAAGTTTTTACTATACACATATAGTTAAAAACAATGACACCCCTGGGGCGGGGCCAGTTTTGACCCCAGGGCTTTTATTTGAACAAACTTTGTAGACAATTACTAGAAGATGTTTCATGCTTAATATCTAAACTCTAGCTATTTGGGTTTTTTCAAAGAAGATTTTAAGATTTTGCTATACACATATAAGGAAAATCAATGACCCCCGGGGCGGGGCCAATTTTGACCCCAGGGCTTTTATTTGAACAAACTTGGTAGACACCTATTAGAACATGTTTGATGCTAAATATCTTAGCTCTAGCTCTTTGAGTTCTTTAAAAGAAGATTTTTTAAGATTTTACTATATGCATATAGGGAAAATCAATGACCCCCTGGGGCGGGGCCAATTTTGACCCCAGGGCTTTTATTTGAACAAACTTGGTAGACACTCATTAGGACATGTTTCATGCTAAATATCTTAGCTCTAGCTCTTTGGGATCTTTAAAAGAAGATTTTTTAAGATTTTACTATATGCATATAGGGAAAATCAATGACCCCCTGGGGCCTGGCCAATTTTGACCCCAGGGCTTTTATTTGAACAAACTTGGTAAACACTCACTAGAAGATAATTCATGCCAAATATCTAAGCTCTAGCTCTTAGGATTTTTTAAAAGAAGATATTTAAAGTTTTTTCTTTCGGTTGCCATGGCAACCACAGTTCTGCATGGAATTAAATTCTTTGAACAATTTTTAAAGGTGACCACCAAAGGAACATTCCTGTGAAGTTTGGATGAAATTGGCCTTGTGGTTTATGAGGAGATGTCATTTAAAGTAAAAGTTTACTGACGCCGGACGGACGATGGACGCCCGGACGAAAAGCGATCACAAAAGCTCACCCTGTCACTTTGTGACAGGTGAGCTAAAAACCAGGTATGAATAAAAACCACATAAAAAAAGACTGTTTATAGATAGCACCATACTTTTTTTTCATTGTACATACATGTATAAATAACATTGAGTCAACAGAAAATGACCTCTTGTCAATAAAACAGTTAAAGACCTGTCATCAAACAATAATTCTTTAATTACAGACAGCAGATATATACCTTAATACACTTAAAAGCTTTGAGAAATACACAAATGTACTCTATTATGCACCTTTTTTCATAAATAGTATTTTTTTCAAAACTGTTTGATCTTTCTCCACTTTGTTGGTATGCAATTAAAGCACTGATCATGGATTTTGTTCATTCCTTCTTTTTTTTTCAAAGAAATATGATTATTATCATAGATTTTGTTCATTCCTTCTTTTTATTTTTTTTAAAAGATATATCATATTTCTGTTACATTATTAAACATTGTAATTCAAACCCTATTCTTTTTTATTAAAGTTCAGGACAAGTTGCACTTACCACTTTACATTTATGCAACATTACTGTCAATACAATGTCTTTAAAATTCTCTGCATACTCAGGATTTCATTATCCTTGTGATTTTGGTTTTGAGATTAATTAATGCTAGAGTCTGTTTATAATTTTGGTTTTGAGATTAAATGTGTTTTAGGATACCCAAAGGGCACAATTAAACTTTGAAATATCATGAGTGAAAATAGAAACAACTGAATCTGCACAATTCTATAAGAAACCTCTAAGAGTGAACAATATTGTGAGCCTAAATCAATACTCCAGTAATTTTAGTACATTTTCCTATTAGCAACACAATTAATTCTTTTTGCATTTTTTCTTCAAAGCGACAAGTAATAGTATTTTATGCTTTTCAACTAATGCTGTATATTTTTTTTCTTTTTATTCTTATTCATTTTGGAAACTTAAGTGTTATTTATTAGTCAAATATATGCAAAAAACTGCTTCTAAGCAGAATCCATTTCCTCTCAAAGAGCAATGACCTTGTTAATATCCATATGTCAAAATACAATGTGCATAATATTGTGACAAATTTGAATCATTGGCCATCTGTTATGACAAGAAAATATGAGTTTTTTACAAGTAGGACAACAGATGTTTTACTATACATGAAAAGATTGGACCTTATTGACAGAATTAGTGGTCTTTGTAACACTTCTATAAAACTTAGTTGTTAATATTTCAGAAGAAAAAACAATCAATATTGCAAGATGAAGTAACATAAAATATCATACTTATTAAAAAGAAAGGAATTGTGAAAGCATTTTTCTTACCATGTGCATTCTGCCAGTAGCTTCTGACACTACACACTTCCATTTTCCTCTATGCCCTGCCCACTTCTGTATATTTGGTAGTGTTGGTGAATTCATCTCATCACAGATCTGTAAACAGAAGAAAATCTTTTTGAGTGCTTAATTTGTCTTAATTTATCAGGTAATTACATGTATACCTTACTAAAATTCAAGAAGCTAAAAGTTAAATTTACAATAGTAGTATACTAGAAACCTGGACAGACTACATATATTATGTGTGAGCTGGATTGACTGTACATTTGTGCGGGTGATTTAATATTGCAGCTTGTATTCAAAGGTTTCAACAAAGTAAGGATATACTTGGTGAAAAATATCAAATAATTTTTTGAAAAACTGTTACAGTATTTACAACATGTTACTATATAATATTAGTTCTTAAATTTTTTTTTTAACTCCCAACAAAATAAAACCTGAAAAACTTTCCCTTACAAATTATTCCTTTCCTGTTATAAGTGGGGATTAGTGTTAAATATCGCTTATGAACTGTAATGTATCAACATCAATTATGACTGTGTTCACAATACACTAACAATGATGGCAGTCAAATTTTACTTTACATCCAGTGCAATACATGCTTTAAATGGTTAGATAGTCACATAGTACTTATAATTCTGTTGACTGAATTATATCTTACAAATATTTTTATTTAGTAACATTAAGAAGCACAATTATCAGAAATAAACCATGTAGGAGATTTGAATTTGTACAAGCTAGAGTGCAAAAACAAATGCATGTATATACACAAAACCCTAGACTGTCACCAAAGAGCCAAAAAAAATAATCACCTTGTACAGGTGTCAAAGGTTATATTTCATATTCTAATGGTAAAGTAAGTCATTTTGAGCCACTCAGTGCATTATTTCATGTTAAAGTGGGCACCTTGCTATAACCAACAACCTTTGTAAAAAGGCTAGATAGCTTCCTCACATTTCCCCAACACTCAAAAAGCAGTGAGGGACAACTGACTTTTGAAACAGCAACCGAAACCACTCAGCCTTGGAAACTCTCATATAATCATGGACCTGCATATACTATGAAATTATCACAAAAGAAAGATATCAAGAAATAGCAAACCTCAAAATTTAATGAACCATCAAAATCTAAGTGTCACTTTCGCTATGTGGGCACACATATTTGTGGTCAGTTGTTATCTCTAACTTCACAAGTCAAGAATATTAAAGTTTAACAAATACAGTATTTATATTGGCTTAATTATACTTAACAAGTTGGTAAAACATTACTGCAACAAACTTCTCAATCGCAACTTTTCGGCCCTTTCCATCAGTCTTCAGATAAGGACCTCGAACACAATAATATGAATACACAGAACGGATGCGGTATTTCGGTCTAACCTACGCTAAGAAATTAAACATGTAAACAAAAAGTAATTTAATGCTGGGAGTTGTTGACAAGTTTATTTCCAATATATGTAGTAAAAGTTCACCTAAAATAAGTGAATAGCAAACAATACATTATTTCTATATTCATTATTATGGTTGTAGAAACCGAAAGCACAAAAAAAAAAACTTTTTGACATTTTGTCGGATTTATTTAAAATTGTACATCAGTGGGCATATTTAAATTACAAATTATTGTCAGACATATTTTTAATCATAAGTGTACAGAAACAGACATTACTTTTCTATTGGATGTCAAATGATATTATATACATTCATTTTACATTATCTCTGTTTCTGTTTACATCTGAAACCACATGGTAGAACTACTTTAACTCCATATTGCTTCGGAGGTTATTATAGATAATAGCCTAGGATGTTCCGATTGCAAACATGAAAATTCTTTGCACAACTTAAACTATTAATGGTAGTTAACTTACTATTTTTTACCTAAATTTCAAAATCACCAAATATAAATAAACAGAACAGGGCTTAGAAAAGACATGCCACACCCTCTAAGTAGTATGTTGAGTAGGTGGAAAGTTTACAAGAAAAATGAATTTCTTATTTAAACATTGATATATTGTACAGTTTTCAAAAATGTCAATCAGTGTCAAATTCTTTCTACCCACTCAATGTTTCAACTGAAATAAATGTTCTATAATTTGTTTAAATTTGACCTAACAAACTGAAAACTGTGTAATCTGATAGATTAACATCACAGTTACCAAATAATTTAACACAAAATCCATGCAGATTAAATGGGCACCATTTGATTGAGTGAACTTTGTTATATATCAATACATTAAACTTCAAACTATTTCAATGAACTACTAACATAATACTGAGAGCTGGGTCTGATGTAATAAAGAAATTCTTTAAGCTCAAACTTAGATCTCAGGTATGCAAATTCAAAACTGCCATAGAATGTACACTAAACAATGAAAATCTGAGGCTTTGTGACAGAATTGTTCAACTCGGAAAAAAAGTCCTATAACCTTGAAGCCAGATTCCCATGGTTAAAGGCTTGAACCTGAACTCTTTTGGCATTAAAACAGAACTACTTCATTTAACCTTGCTATGCTCATGCAAGCTTCCACAAGTTCAGGTCTAGTCCAGCACATCAGTGCAGCCCGGCAAGTTCTAATTACCTCTGGTTGACCATCTTCAAACTTTCAACTTGATTCTCCCACCCCAAATACATAATAAACTTTGCAAAATATTGAACCTGGACAAGTCTATTTGTCCAATGAAAAATATCGCAGGCTATAGTTAAAACAAAATCTCAGAATGAGTCCTGTTCAAAGATAAAACTTTCCAAAAAAAACAAAAAAACCTGCTATTTAAATGACAATTTTAGCAAAATCATTGGTATAATAAAACTTGTCACATATGCCTTTAAAAGGAACACTTAAAGCTTAAAACCACATTATTTAAATCTTTGATGAGATAAAATTATCTGTATCTAACAACCAATAGGCATGTTGTGGTTACAATAACTGCATACATTTTCAACAAAAATATACATCATACAAAACTTTGTTGAGTGTATTCACCTCAGCACTTTACCTGTATATTTTCAATAAGAATAACAAAGGGAAAACAAAATACCATAAAAGTCACCATTAGTGAAGTAAAATCATCAACTGAACTAAATCATCATTACTACTGCATCAACTGAACTAAATCATCATTACTACTGCATCATCATCATCATCACCAAAATCATCATAACCATTATTAAAATCATCATCATCATTAAAATCATCATCTTCATCATCACCATTATTAAAATCATCACAATCATCATCATTATCATCTTCATCATCACTACTACTGCATCATCATCATCATTAAAATCATCATCATCATTAAAATCATCACCATCATCATCATTAAAATCATCATCATCTTCATCATCACAACTTGGGACTGCATCATCATCATCAGGGAGGTATGTAAAATATCTATTTCAACTTGGAACATATCATTGTATCATTTAATTGCAATGCTAGGTACAATCTCAGACTTAAGCCACCCATATATCACATTATATAATATCCCAAGAAAAGTTCATATATACAGGCTCCCAAGTAACATGTGTTTGTAATCACTAGACAGGGTACACATTGAATTGTATAAGCTCGCAAGAGTACAGTGATTTTGTTAATATATTGTGCATGTACTTTAGCTTGGCTGATTCCTTTTAAATTTTAGAATTTCTTCCATTGAAATATGAACAGTGCAACACATGACGAGCCCAATATATAAATTCAACAGAGTTAAAAGGTTAAAAGTATTTTTATGTAATAAATTAAAAATTTTAATTACTTTTGCATGACTGCACTTCTGACACTTTATGACATCACTTTTCAAGAGTGAACTGTAAGTTTATTTCAATTATAACAAGTAGAGGCCCTTTAACACCTAAGGAGATCTGAGAAAAATTTCTTTCTTTTCTTTATTGGTAAATTTATATATACCAACCTTTAACGTAATACTTTAAAGTAGGCAAAAATAATCATATATATCTAAAGTTTACACTTGGCAACCTACGCACTGTTGCATTATTCATAACATACAACATGTTAATAAGTTCTTGTTGCTGGGTGTACTTATATTTTGGATAAAAAAAATATTTGTGAAGCCCAATATTTCGTAAATATTTTTTTAAAGTTTTCAAGCACTTTAAATTTAATACAATATTAAACTCCCACCTTTCTATATTCAAAAGATAATTGATAATGAAAAACTTGCATGATTTAAATATTAAATGTTCCCTCACATAAAAAATAATAACAAAAACAGGTATTTTGGAAAAGTACCAGCTTGTAAACTAGATTCAATGCCATCCATACGAAATAGTTTTATTAAATACCTCCTCCTTCACAATACATTTGGGTTAAACAAAATTTATCAATAACATTTTTTAAAGTTCCCATTTCATAATTGTTGTTAATGAATAAATTAAATAAATTCCGTAAACACTTGTAAAGGGCACATTTATTATTTATCACAATAGGTTTCAGTTTCGTTTTTTGAAGGCCTGTAGAATACATTTGTACTTTTATCAGTAAGTTATTATATGCACCTTTTTTGTATCACTAAAGGGGTTTTCAATACTGATTACCTAATAAAATTCAGTAGTTTTCACCCTTTTTATAAGCTGTGGGTTAACATGATCATTTGGTGATCTGGATCACAGATGCTTATTACTACATGGTTGTAACATCATTTTCCATTGGATAATCATGACAGGTTATATGGCCTTATATAAACAGCTATTTGCAGTATAACCCGGTATATATATTCAAACAACCATTTATATAGGGTCATATAACATGTCAAAAATATTTATAACTAATGATATATACAGAATTTACAAGCTTAAAAATATTTTACCTTAAAGGCAACCCCCAGCCACAATGAAGTGGCAAATTTAGTATTAAACAGCTGTAGAATGGTTACTAAGAAAACAGAAATAGCTACCTTTTGTAAAGCATTTTGATCAGCTAACTCTTGTATTGCCACTATACTCAACCTGAAATATATAAGCAATAATTCTTATCTTAAATAATTTTCTCTTAAGGTTATTTATATATTATCCATATGGTCATAACCTCATTTGAAACAAGATCAATATAATATTTATATTTTATGTTTTTGATGAAATATCAGTGACTGACAGTGAGATATAAGTCATATCATACTGTTTGAAACTGAGTTATACATAGAATTCTGTTTCTCTGGTTGTAGTCTTATTATTAAAAAAGAATACATAAGGAATAAGATCTTCATGACATAATGAATAAGGGAAATAAATTATAGAATAAGGCACAAAATCAAAAGAAAAGTTTATTTGGAATTAATAAGGAGCATATCTCACTCCCAAGTCAGACTTAATGGTTCTATTTTCACTTGTGTTTAATACTCTTGAAAATATTTAAAACAATCTCCTACTTCTCTGACAGAATAAGTGACAACTTTTCAAAATAAATCAATTTCTGACTAGTTGTTTAATAAAGACTAAATATATTGGACATTTTGTCTGTCTCTAGACCATCATTAAACAAGAAGAGCCACTAGTCTAGCTCCAAAAAAGAAGAATTCACAAATCCTTAGGCAAAAGCTGGCTAATATGAGCCGTGTCATGACAAAACCAACATAATGGGATTGCGACCAGCATGGATCCAGACCAGCCTGCGCATCCACGCAGTCTGATCAGGATCCATGCTGTTCGCTATCAGTTTCTCTACTTGTTATAGAGTTTGTAAGCAACAGCATGGATCCTGATCAGACTGCGCGGATGCGCAGGCTGGTCTGGATCCATGCTGGTCGCAAACCCATTATGTTGGTTTTGTCGTTACGCGGCTCATATATAATTTGAAGGTTCAACAAAACAAGCCAGGTCACTCAATAAAATTGTAGACCAATTTACCAGAAGTTGGGTTATTCTAGCTTCAGTTTACTTGTGGTTTATGAAAACCACAAAATCTGAATTCTCATCTAAATTCAAGATAGCATTTCAACCACAAGATTTATCATTTACAAGAGTCTGTATATTGCTATTAAGTAAAGATTCAACCATATTACCACAAGTTTGAAGATATTTCAGTGCACTTCACTATGATTTAACACATGACAGCAAATTTTCTTTCAAAGGGCAGATTTATCATCTATTCAGATAATGCCAGTTATACAATTTAACATGAAAAAAAATAAAAATTGAATTAACATCTGAATATTATATTTTTAACCCAAAATTTTGTTTGTTTGTTTTGTTTTCAGCCATGCTATCAAGGTTACAATACAACCTTACTTCATTAGCAGTAGGATCCTAAGATTATTCCATTTCATGGTTTTATATTAGACTGACCATTTAAAGAAGTAGCCCTACATTCCAGAACTAATGAGAAGCTATCTAGATATCATATTTTCAACCTACCATATGGCTATCACATTAAAATATAGATTACAAAAAGACATAAAGATGTCACTGATGACTGTATAAACAACACGTTCAGTGATGCCAGATGATATATTGCTTAAATAATGAAAACTGAGTAACTGATATAAGATATATAAATATTTTTTACCCATTCTCCAAAATCGTCATGCAGACGACATCTCTAACGCCCGGGTTATCAGCCTTCTCCTCAGAAAAACATTGTAAATTCCAAGAAGCGATTTTCAAAGCATTTCTATTATTGCACTTAAAACTTGGAAAATCCACAATAGGTCTGACTGGCTTTTCTGAAAACGGTCCTAAAGTGTTCAATAAATTCTCTAACGAACCTTTCGTGTAATCATTAGATGGGTTAATTGAAAGGTTCTCCGAATTGAAAGAAGTGTCTGAATTTCTACTAGGTATTGCACTGTTATTGTAGTTTGATGATTTTTTAGATGAAGAATATGATAAACTATCCGCTACAACATTTTCGTCTAATGTTAATTGTGGTTTTATTGCACTGAGTACATGCTGCCCAATTCCTTTCACTTTAATTAAATCGTCTATACTTGTAAAAGGCCCTTTTTTGTCTCTGTACGTAACTATGTTTTCAGCTAAAGTTTGACCAATACCTTTGACTTTCATTAACTGAAACACATTGGATGTATTAAGATTGATAATTTTAACTGAGTTGGCATCTTTGATATTGTTTCTACCACTTTCTGGTGAGTTTTTACTACTTCCATTTGAGCCGTTACTTCTTTTAACACATATTTCATTCCGTATAGCTTCTAACCTAGCGGCACCAACACCGGACACAAGAGCTAAATCCTCTACACGCCTAAATCCACGAATCTGTTTTCGATAATCGATAATTTGTTTTGCGGTAGCTCGATTAATTCCAGGTAACGTCATAAGCTCCTCTTCCGTCGCCACATTTATATCAATTTGGTTCTTGATCATAGCATCATTCTCTTCGTCAAGTACAGTCATGTTAAACGTGGCACTAAGTTGGCGACGATGTGAACGTAAACTTTTCGATTTCCTGCTCCCACCTCCAGATTCGATACCACTCTTTCGTGGAATACAACAACTATTCACAGCACCCATTCTCTTTCTTTACTTATCTCTTTATAAAACAAATCTAAGTAAAATAACTCCTAAATAATATTCTCCTGCATTTTTAAGCAGCTTAAACTTTCTATATCCTCATTTGCATTTATCTTAATTTATAAGATATCCATCACTGGGCACGAAAATGTAGGGTTAAAACTTCATCAGATTTTAGCTACCTGAAATTTAAGATGAACAAAAAATGAATGATTGATAATGTTGATATAAATATAAAATGACGTAACTGTAAACAAACATAAATCCTCTCAAATATTTTAACTTACAGAAAACCTTCATAATAAATACAGTTGTATCTTTCACATAATTATATTTATAATCCATTTTCAAGAATTTGACCAAGGATCATCAAGATTGCCATCTTCACTAAACAAATATGTACATCTATTATTGCAATGTAAATTTTAACCAAATCAATTTCTAATCAACTACCAAAGAATTTTCAATCCCTGTACGCAATTCAGTGAACTTTGTTAAAAGAATATCTATCCTTCCATTATATCGATCCTTTCATTAGATCCTGTATGTAATATTTTCACGTCTTGAGTGTTTACCGTTAAATATTTCGATAATCACAAATCATCACAAATCAGCATAAAGCAATATCAACTTTTATCAGCACTCAAGAAAGTGAATGACTTATTTCATACTTAATGTTACTGCACTTGAGGTAAAATATATACATATTTAATACCACGTCATATTTAAAGAACAACACTCCTTTTTACTAAAGAAATATTTACTTTGTAACATTTCTTATGACCTAATAAATCAACATTATTCCTTTAAATAACTATTATAGAATTATTTATTGATACTCATATTTCTTAACCATTTCTATCTTCTCACCATAACTGAAAACTCAATCTTTTTATCGCCATAAGCATGTAGTCATTATTTAAGGTCAATATCGTACATCAACCTTTAAATCTGATTAACAAATAATATAAGGTTATAGACCACTAAGTCTTATTGTTCGATTTACAGAGTTGTAATACACAACTAATAAAATCATATATGAAATTAAATTTAAATCATTCAACATAAAATAATTAATACAATTTCATTTACCTTATGGTCTCTGTTCATAAATCCATAATACATCTTTCATCCATTAAATCTACAAAATAAAAATAGTTTAACAGTAAGAAACTACTGAAGTGTATTAAAATTAAAGAACAGACGCGTCACTGGAGGAAAAAACAACAACAATAATAACAAATAAATGCGTCACAGTCAAAAACCACTTTAAACAAAGTATAAATGTAAGGAGATCATTAAAACCTATCATGAACACAATCAAAGGATAGATCTAAAACAAGAATGAAGCTACAAATCAAATTTATTGCCTTTTAACGGAAAAGAGTTATAACATGCCAATTTGTCATTATGTTTCACAAAATAATCCTTTTTTTTAAATTTAATTCCTTGCTTTCCACTACATGTAAAAATTCAATACCACTTGAACTTATATAATATATATATTTTTTTCCTTTATTTTCTACAATTTTAAATATCAAATAAATATTTTTTATCTGCGATTGCTACATTTATGGGTTCACTAAACCTAAAGTGTAAAGTCGTTACACTCTGTATAAGATATGTTATCAGCAGATTACTATCTACAGATAACCCTGTACTACAGATAAACTAGTACCCTCTCCCCCAAACATGGCAATCTAACTTTTTTATTTGGCTGATAAAATAATATCAAAGAAACACAAAGACATTTTAAATATGTGTTTAAAAAAACAAATTCCCCCCTTTTCTCTTATTTCTTTGGGTTTAAAATGAAAAATCAACTTTAAAAAACACTACATCCCAAAATTTCCCCTTTAATCTTTTTTTTAAAAATTTTTTTTAACCCACTAGTCCTTTTTTTGTTTTTTAATGTCCCTTAAAATTTTTTATAAACAGTGCCTACTTTTAGAAAAACAGGGCTTTCAAATTTTTGTTACATTATAAATTCAAAAGAAAAATTTTCCTTTTTTCAAAGAAAACAAAAACTAAAAAAACATGGGCCCAAAAAATTAATTTTTTTTTACATCAAAGCTTTCATCAATTTCCCGCTTTTTAAAAATAAGTAAACCCGCAATCTGTCATGTATATCTAACATCATGAAAAAAAAAATGTTCCAGAGATTTCTGATAACCATTTTACCACATGGATCTTAATAAAATAACGAAAATTCACATGATTGGAATTTTTTATATTGAGTGATATTGCCCAGGATTCCCTTATACAAAATACATGGGTCAATTTACTTATAAATACAATTCATATGACTGTCAACATAATTCAATAGCAGAAAATTATCCTACACTTTAACTTCGAGACTTTTGAGAAAACCGATTCCAGTATGACAGGCCTGTTAATGTCTTGAGGATATTCAAAACAAAACTTTCAAATGACGTCACACTAATGCCTAAACACCTTATAAAACAGGTCTATTGCGACATACAAATTACATATTATCACCAAAACTATGTCAGTATATTGACTTGTAACTTTTTATAACACAAAGAGCAGATTCTAAGGTATAAGTGATAAATTGGGTCCGAGCCCAAAAAATTTCAAAAGCAATGACCCTTCAATTCCCCAGTGTAAATTTCCCCAATTTTTTTTTTTTGCATTTTTATAAATAAAAATCTTGCACAAGACACTGATTTAAAAATGAAAATCTATTTTTTAAAGGCCCAAAAGAGAAAAAAGATTTTAATCATTTTTTTTAATCCCGTTTTCCCAAGGGGGGGGGGGGGGTTTTTGTCAAAAGGGGACATTGAGTGAATCTGTAAATGAAGCACATTTAAATCATAATAATTGCACAACAAAACCATCATTCCTAGAACTCAACAAAATTTAGGAAATAGAAATGTCCCTCCAATTTTTTACTGTCCTCCAATCTGTACAGGCTTATAATGAGTGTAGGACAAAAGCCACCCCTGACAAAACCCCCGTCTAAAAATGACAAGATGGACAAAAGCCCCCCCATGAAATTTACACATAGGACAAAAGCCCCCCCCCCCCCCCCCATCAATAACTAATTTGAAATGTTCACCCTCAGCCGATATCCCTTAAATTAACAATGAACAGTTTCCAAATATGGACTGTGAACAAGTCCCATTTAAGGAATTCAGAAAGTAAAGGGTTAAGAACTGGAATGATATTTCTCATTTAGAAGTCTATTACATTGAAAGTTTCTAGAGCTTAAAGTAGAACTATCCCTTCCTTTCTTAAAGTGGAACTATCCTTTCTATCTTAAAGTGGAACTATCCTTTCTATAACTCTGTGGGATTACAGACCTATAACAGAACTGTCCTTTCTCTAAATCTAAGATATCTGTTATCTTGGCAGAACAGTGACCACATCACAGTATTTTCCATTAGTTTTACAGGTCCTGAATACAATAAATCAATTGTAATTAGCTCCTCAGCTCTTATATGGAAAAAATGTCTTAAAAGTGAGATGGGAAATAAATTCCCTGAGATTGTGACTTGATCCTAGTTTAGACAGAAACACAAGTGTCTAATAAAACAGTGGATCTGTGAGAAATTTCTGCAAATTAATCGTGACCAGTCAATGACACAGTGTCATGTAAATATCTCAAAATAAACCTGAAAATTCAAACTTTTAGCTTTTTTCCCTTTTCTTTACACATGGTCATACCAATAAGTACAGTCAAGCCTGGCTATCATGACCAGTTACAGAAAATGGAAAATATGATCTTTGTCAAAAGATGAGTCTCTCAGGACTGTTAAAAACACATGATTGTCCTTTTTTTTAGGGGGTTTGGTTTTTACGTCACACCAACACACTGACAGTATAGATCATATGGTGACTTTACAGCTTTGCTGGTGGAAAAGACCTCAGGGGCCCTCCTGTGCATTATTTCAGACATGAACCTGCACCTGAATAGAACCGATGTCCTGTAAGCTAGCAGGATAGCTTCCTAAAAAAAAAAAATCAGTGTTTTCAAAGCAATGGATTCTAGATATAAACTTTGACTGTTGAAAATCCAAGCTCTGATGGTTTCTGTTTGTAATGTTTCGATAGTACATTTACAGAATTCAACATTTAACTTTAATTAGGAAGAGAATAAACAAATGTATTTGATTAACCCTAAATTAAAATACCATGCTTAATATAGTGTAAATGGACAGGCTCATATTACAATTTAGACAAAGTCGTTTATTGTTTTTTGGGAAAATTTAAATTTAAAAAAAAAATTTATAGACAAGATAGGAAACAGTGCAGACAGTACAGATGTGTCAGCTAATCTTGATATGCACTGGTCATATGGGTAGAATCAGTTACACAGTGCTAATGAAATATCATCAAAAGTTATAACTGCACCATATGTTGATATTTTTACATGACACTAGATGATTTGTACATGTCTTGCTCCTAGAAATAGTGACTAATTAAAGTTTTGGTACTTTTATCCTGATACACTGGTACAATGTAAGTGGGTCAGTAACTTCAAGTTCCTATGACAACAAAATATCAATATAAACTTCAACCCTATGATCAACAACTGTATTGACTAGTCCCTTAATATACCCATCATAAATAACTACTGGTCCCCTCAAAACAATAACAAATAAATTAGTCCTTAGTAAAAACCACCACTTTCACAATAAACATCAAAATATAAGAAAAAACATCCATAATAATCATAACAAAATTAAAACAAATTTATTCATATTAAACTAAAACTTCCTCACAATTTTGCAACATAAAGATTTTACAAAAATTTTGACCGTCAATATGGTTATATATTTATAATCAAGTCATATTAATTAATACAGACAATGTTTTCATAGAAAATTGCATAAATTCTTGATTTCAACTTGTAAAATTTAAATTCCTCAATATTTTGAATATGAAATTGTCATTTGAATTGTAAAAGGTAGAAAATCCGAATACTTTTAAGTTTATTACCTTTGCAAGTACATGACATTGTTACACTGTACATGTAATTCAAAGCATAAAATATCAAATATCATTCCCCTGGTTAATATCCAAATACTAAATACCAATTCAACTAACTTGTAGTTAAAAACTGCTAAATTTCTCTCATTCCTTCTATCCGAAATATTTTCTGATTGAATGGCAATAAAGTCTTATTCTTCAACTAAATATCAGAGGTAAATTCTAACAGACATCAACAGGTGGAGTTATATGTTTAACATGTGAAGTAGGTAAGAAGTACCTTTCCAATACCAGCACTCAGCTCACCCACCCAACCTTCCTTTATGATAATTACATGCACATCAAAAGGTAATATCTCATTCTATAACAAAAGCATCCTTTGCATTTTTTTTCAAGACTGCACCTAAAATTATCAAAAAAGCTGAAAAATACAATGCACTTTTAGACCACCTACATTTCTCCCTCCAAAAAGGTGCACTTCTTTGAAACAAAAGATAATTTTTTTAAATGTAAAGACACCAGTCAAACACCATGATGTTTTATCCAGTCTAAACAGCAGACGGTCGTTTAATGTATTATTGGTATCTTGCTCATTCAAAGTCCCCACTGATTTTCAGAACTTTGTAACTTTATTTAGCAGAGAGGGGAAAAAAATCAAGGGAAACACTGTATTTTACACTGATTCTAAAACACACAGACATGAGCTCACTGTCTTTCCACAAAATTGTTTTTCACAAATCTCTGTTTGGCCTATTATAACTATCAGGTTTCACTGTACTCTAATATAGTCAGGTTTAACTGTATTCCAATATACAGAATAACATATCAATGAACAGTGGAAAAACCTTTTAAAAAAAGTTTTGAAATAAGGAATGAAACAGTAACTATGACTAACTTGAATATGTATATTATAAAATATGAAAGGAGTAGGTAGTCAATATAATAGAATGAGTCTTGTCTAATGCATGAACAAATCAAATCAAATATCAAGTAGTTATTTCCTACAGTCACACCAACAACGTCAGACTCTGAACCGTAGTTTTGAACACTTGGGACTAAATTCAATTTGATATGTTTATACATTGTATTAACTTAAAGAAATTCCACTGACTTCTGTAAATAATGTAGAGCTGAGTGTTGAAAATTTCAAAACATTACATAAAGGAAATTATCAATTAGTTTGACAAATTTAAAAGATCACACAAAAGCGCACCTTCAAGATCAAAGGTGAAAAAGCTATCTCCAGTAGCATATTAAAACAACTTGTCAGGAAAGAAAACTAGACAAATCA